GTGTGACGGGGATTCGAACCCGCGACCCTCAGATTGTGAGTCGAGCGCCCTAACCACCTGGCCATGCCGGGCCTTCTATGCACTTGGTATGAGAATGGTTTGTTTGTTTCAAAATTTCGCGCAAAGCTACACAAGGGCTATGTGCGCATAGCCGTTCCTAATTTCGAACTAATAGAGTAATGAGAAGATAGCTAAGCAACTTCTCTCAATTCTTGAGCTACTACTGATTAAACAATAGGATTTCTAGAGTACCCATGGCCCCAAAGTGCGGAGCGCATTTTGTGGCAACAGGTTGTGAACCATGAATCCTCGGATTCCTATAGTTAAGCGCAAAACTACATAATAGGCTATTTACGCTGTGAATGAATGAGTGTTGTTCAGCAAGACGTGAGAATAAAAACTTGGATAAATGATAATAAAGAATACATTTCCACCTCTAAAAATGAAAACTTTTTACAATTTGATTTTGTAACACGGTCTCCACTGCCATTTAGACGTCGATTTTTCTTCATTACCTGTTATCCAGGTATTTACGTTGTTGCCCACCGCAGGGACCGATCTTTAGCGTTATAAGTTCTCACGTTTAGCGCTGGGCCACAGGAAGTCTAAGAGAACGGACTTTATTATTTAACCGTACGTAAGTAATATAACAAATTATGCATAGTACTCACTCTGATGTTACTCTATCCGAACTACCAATTAGCTTCAGCCTGTTTTTGTCCGCATTTTCCCGCTTGTCTAAAGATATCGTCCATTACTCTAAATACTCAGCTAGTAATTTTATTACGTATTCGTTCTTTGTATTTATTATCGCATATTTCTCTCTCTTTACATCTTGTTATTTTTGAGCTACTGTTTAGTATTCGTAAATCTTTCACACGCGAGCACAGTTTTCTACTTGGACTTATCCTTCTCATCATATTGGAATCTCGAAATATAAGCAAAAAATGAATGGCAGGTTTTTTAAATATTTAGTTTTCAGTACTCAAGAGAAAGAGCGAGCCTAGTTAGGCTAAACTTTTGTTGTTTTGCCGCAAAGCTACACAATTGGCTATATTCGCTCTGTCCACCACAGGGAATCGAACCCTGGATTGTAACGTTGTAAGTTTGTAAACTTACTCTTGGCGCACCAAGGAACGTTAGACTAACCTATTGCGATGAAATATCACAATAAAGCCGCATGAAAATGTTCTAACACCGGAGCTTTCTTACTAGAAACTTGCACTAATCCACGTAAGCCAGACGCGATATAGAACATTAACAAGTAAATACGGCTTTAATAAAAAATAACTAAATATTTGCCTTTACCTAACAAAAAAGAATATAATAATTAATATTAATTTTAGTTTTATGTGTTGATACCTTTGAAAAGGTATGGCACTATTTTTCACTTCCAAAAAAGTTGCGTATAAACAGAAAAAATTGTAGAAATTCAGGTTTTTCTCAAGAATTTTATTAAAAACTACGTGCGAATACAATAACCATTTTAGATACAACATATTAGGTTTTCAATGCCCTTATAATTTTTGCAATACTGTGTTATTCAAAAATAACGGTTCTCACATGTACAAAATACAGGTCTACTTACACTGAAAAAGTATATCACCTTGATAAAATTCACAAAGCATTTTCTACAGCTTAACCCAGCAAGTATAGTAAAACGAACTACAGACTACTCATAATCTTACATGCAGCTAAATAACTGATGTTACATATAAAGATTCGGTATAATGTACTTATAAACACTTAACTAAATATTTCCAATTTCAAACCCTACTAACACAATTTTTGAAATGAAATATACGCCACAAAAAACAAAACTAAGTTCAAGTTCCCAACCCATTTCTAAATGTATTGTTACAAGTGAAAGTTTTGTTTTTTCTAGCAGACAGCATATTTGGTAGAAAAAGTACTATTCTTTAAGAGATCGTGTTGTGTCTAGGTGGAATTCATGGAGTTATCATTTCCCAAAGTTTTATTCTTCACTTTCAATATTTCAACTCTTCTAAATATAACGGCCTATTTTTAATTATTAAGGTATTTTCATAGCTTAAGGATACTTATGAAGAAACACAAATTGATTTTATACATTATTTTTCACACTGTCTTCAAACAGCCAATGCAGAAAATTTCAACCTCAATTCTTGAATAGAAGTAAAGCAGCAAGATCATGTTTTAGTTGGTTGTAACAATATATACTCAGATACCGAAAAATAAATCGGATGCTTAGATCATTTTTTTATATTATGGTATAAAATGTTCACAACTTTGTACAATTTAGTATTGGTTATAACATATGCCTGCCTAATCTCATTGAATTATAGAGAGACTTGACTCAGAGAGTGAGATTATATCATGGTGACAGATGTTACAATCAATGCATGGTCAAAAAAAAAAACTTCTAGTCAATCATGACTTTTCTAAGAAGTTTTATCTGAAATAAATGAATCAAAGTTAAAACTAAATGTGAATGTTAAAGATTTCCTTTAATTACTACAAAAGGAGTGATTCTGATAAAAATGAGATTACCACAAATAAACAACCTGTTCTAAAATTGTAAATTGAATATCAGATAAGGGCTTCTAGTATAAACAGAAACAACAGGAATTACAATCCACTTCCTAAGTTGCTAGCTTTAAGTAAGACATATAAGAAGTAATAGAAAACCTGAATTAGTACACTTCAGACACTGAATGACAGTTATAACATATCCTAAACTTTCTAACAAACCAACATACTTCAATAATTTCCAAGGTTGTGAAATGTGCTGACCAAAATTTTCTGTGATTTTCAAGCTTAGATGATTGTTTTATAACAAAATTCATATGTTTACTGTAACATTGTAGTATTTTGCACGTAAGAAACTTTGGAAATTTATTACATAAGCTGGATAATTGGAGTCAAGAATAATCAATATCAGTTGTATGCTTCAAACTAGTGACTAGCAGTAGACAATTTGATATCTCTTGCAATCCTCTCCAAGTTTGATCAAATGTTGAGTTATGTACTGAAGTCCCATTCTCTTCCACTTAAAATTACTATTTCAACAATATATCATCTCCTGTTATATTCCTGTAACCATGGTACCATCTTCCACCATTATTAGGTCATTAAAAGGACTCATCTTACAATTTATGCAAGCACTTCTGACAAATAACTTTAAATTGATCCTGATAAAGAAGTCTATTTGAAATATCTAGTTATATTTCTTGTTCCCTCAAATACTTACTTATTATAATGAAGTGAGATGATTTTACTAAACGATAAAATAAGTTCATTAGTACTGTTAACAATTATCAAATGACAAGTCTTGCTTGGAAAACAATAACATATTTAATTGTCAGGTTGAAAATACTGATTCCAAAAAAAAAAGAAAGATAAACAGACTGACCACAAAGCAGAAATTGTTGGAAAAGCTAGTAATAGTGAGTAAAAAGTTGCTCTTAACCACAGTTGCATCATTTTTGGTTGTCAATAACTAGTTTCTACTTTTAAAAACAGGTATTCAATAGCCAAGTGTTATCATTTTATTGCAAGCCAATGTTATTATTTTGGGCCCAAACATCCAGAAAGTGGTACATGACACACATCTATACCAAAATAAAACTTCTACAGTGAAAGCAATAA